ATTCCATCTGTCAGGTATAGATGGCAATACTTTAAACAAAGTTAAATTTGTTATACCTGAAGAGAACCAATCCTGACCTAGAATGGGTGAATGAATAATTATGCCTAAGAAACTCACATAGGCCCTGACAGACTCAATAAGTCCATCTAGGAACAGCTGCAGGAAACACCTCTTCAGTTTAGATTTAAAACATGTGCATGCTCTTTCAGGTTGATGAGGATTATGGTGTGGACTGGACAGGACCACATAATCACCGCCCATCAAATGAGATCACCATTCCTGAGATTCAGCTCCCACGTGCACTGAGTGAACGAGAGCTTGCTGTGCTACCAAACAACAACGTTTCACTCAGTCAAGCTTTGGATACCTACTGTGAAACTGTTCAGTCACTCAAACTTATGTTTGATACCACACCTTAACTCTTCAAAGTAAGCAGGTGCAATATGTTCACACCCCTTTTTTAAGTTTCTACATCTATGGCTTTGTAGCTAATACTGACTCAAAACAGCTAATTATAAAAGTAGTGGCTATAAAACAGGATTTGTTTTACACAGCTGTCACTTTAATAATAATAAAAATAAGTGACAATAAAATAAGTGATTTGATATTCATTTCTTGGATGTACAGTACATGTCAACTCTGAGCAGATTTAATACAATGCACACGGTACAGTAGTATAAATCTTAATGCAAATAAATTTTCCAGTAGCAAGAATAAAATAAACATACTGTGTAATTTATAATGTACAGTGAACAACTGATTTTGTTTTCTGAACTCTTTTTAATATAAACTGACAAAAAGCAATAAATGCTCACCTGTACTGTGTATTTTACACTGTCAAGTGTATTAAAGGAACTAGAACTCACTAGATTGTCCGTTTCTTTGAACACTGAATACAGTAATGTGATGCAAGAAAGAAAAATGGTCTAATCTTACCATGTGGTTATGGAATCAATCCTAAACCAGACCAAAACCTGAGTCAGTAGAGTTGAGACAAACCTCAATGTCCATAGAAATGACTCATAGGTACAGTAGTGTGCAGGAAGACGTAGTACTTCAAAACAGGTGGAAGACTTGGCTGCTGTTGACCACTTCCACAGTCATTTCTCTCGGCAAGACTTCCCATCCTGTCCAAAACTTGATGAGGGCTTTTCGTTGTGCACAAGACGCTGCAATGGAACATTGTTTTGAGCTATAATGACATCCTATATTCATTATTTTGAGTCTTTTATGGAGAAATACCTTAAAAGATGAACAATTACATAAAGAGCACAAGACATTTTTGCCCCACTCAAATTGCTGTTGTAGCTGTCATAGATATTTTTATGGTAACAAAGCTAAAAGTAGTTGCATACAATTATAATGCAACTGATAATGCCACCACTCTGTTTTTTATGTATTGCATGGAGGCAGTATGGAGCAAATAAGAAAACAAAATTATACTATAGTGTACTTTGTTAATGACCCAGATCACTGGACTGTATGTAATTTACCAAAGTATAATCAGAGAAAACCAATAGCAAAATACCTATCGCAGCAGACTTACCATTTTCAATGAAGGACCGAAGGTAGCCTGCCACTCTGCATTTATCCTCAAGAGAGCATTCCTCTTCCTCCTCATCTTCATCTTCTGTGGCAGGCCACACTATCCTTTCTAGAATAGACTGCATAAAATAGTTCACCTTGGTTAATTTTTTCTCTTAAATGCTACAAGATAAAATAAGCTTAATTTGTCATTTTATATCTTTACTTATCTTGTAGTCTTAAGAGCGTCAGCAACATTAGGTGTATTTTTATTAAATGTAACCCAGCTGTTCGACTAGCCCAAGCATACAAAATAGTATATTGATGTTTTGTGTCAACAATTAATGTTCATCCTTCATAAATTAACCAAAAAGGAGAGAATGGCTTGACACAATGACATTTCCACTTACAGGAGAAATATTTGGTACATCAACTTTCACAGTAGAAATAAACTCATCTCCACTACAGATAGCAGAGTTTTACATACAAGAACAAATATGGATCAAATAGTCATGTACCTGTGACAAATCTTGTCCCTCCTTTCGGTGGAGCAACCAGACGTGCAGAGGTGAATGGTTGTTTGCTGTTCTGAGTCCGTGCTGATTCCATGCTTCCTGGAATGACTGAAGATGATGTTGAATGTGATGCAAAAAGCATCTGTGCAGTGCAAACAAATCAATTTCTTCACCAGAGTTGAGCAGTCCTTGGATCTCCAGCTGGGTGAAGATTGTGTAGATAAAGTCAAGGACGTTTTCATATACATCCCTCCACAGGCGCTCAATGCTGTAAGACACAGTGAGGGAAATTGTTCGTTTAGGGTTTTTCAGGTATTCTTATGTCAACAGCCTTCTAAGTCAATTATTAGTGTAGTGTTAATGTGCTGTGAAACCAGTCAATTATGCTCAGAAACCATTTGTTTTATTACAATTGCATGTGTGCCAAAAAATGTAAGACAATTTACCTGTCCTTACTGCTGGTTGTGAACACTTCTGCCTGTAATGTGAGAGTTCCTGTTCTCCCCCATTGTCTGCACCATGAAATGTGCAACCTCCCCCCCCTTTGTCTGACCTGAAAAAAAGAGTAGAGAAGTTTGATCCGAGTCAGTGAGAGTAACAATCTGAATATAACTACTGTCCAATACAGAGTTTTTTTGGCATACTGTATTTGTTAAACACCTCTTACCGGACTCGTGACGGTATGCCATATTGTCTGATTGCTGATAAGAAACCATCAAAAATTGTTGTAACTTTGTTGTTGGTGGCAGCTTTAAGGTAGACAATTAACCTAGAAAAAACATCTTTCCCACCATGGACAACAAATCTCCATCTGACAAGGCAGAATTTAAAAAAAAAACATTGTCATGTCCCCAGTTACATTTTTACAGAAGAATACTATCTTTAAAGGAAAATGTAAGACCAATATTTCAGTTCCATATAGTGACAACATGTTATAACAGGAATGAAAAAGAAATAATAGAAGGGAAACTTAAACACTTTACAGAAAGATCTGTAGTGCAAGGAATCACATGGATAATTTAAAGCCTCAGACATGACTATAGCTCATCCTGTACATTGCCTTATATGACAGTACATTTAAGATGACATTTACAAACTCAAGGCTTCATTTTACAATTTTATACATGCATCCTGTTACTTAAATGGAATAGGGAAAAAGTGATGCAAGTACTGACCGAATTAGTTTATGATTTCCATCGATATGCCAAAGGTGATTTGGTGCTGGTACACTGTACTGACGACGCCTTGCAGTCTGACTAGATAACCGTCGCATCATGACCCCTTCTGGATTGACTCATTGAATCCATCAGTCGAAATCCTGATTAACAAACAGATCATGTCTTAGTACTACCAATTACAAAAAGACTGTATTGTAAACACTGTAATGCTTATGAGACAGATCTTCATTGCTTCAGGTAAGTATCCAGGTGCTGTACAGATTTACTGAGGAGAGAGAATCGTGTACAAACTGGTTCAAACAGGAACATAACTGCATAACATTGATGAGAACATGCCTAGTCCTTTTTGATGGAAACATTAAAATATCACATCATGGCCACACTGACACATGCTTTCTGGGCCAGAAACTGGTGTTTGGATATTCAAACAATATCAGCTTACTTTGAATGTGTATGCCTCTGGATCGTAGATGTCCCATCATCATTCTGCAGCCGGCATTTGGGTGATGACGCTGAATGTCCAGCACTTTTGCATCCAAGTCCTCAT